CCCCAAAACCCCAAAACCCCAAAACCCCTTAAGGTTGAGTCAGTGTGGGATCTAGAAAAGCAATTACATTAATAATAACTAGGAGCATTAAGTTGAATCCAAATAAAATTAAATGCTAGAGACTCAATAATCACTAAACGAAAATATAAATGTTCCGTTGCTGAGAAAGATTTCAATTAGGTATACGAATGCCTATTTGAAATGGACATTTATGGCCTGCTTTTTCTTTGGAACTAGTAATTTCTTGACTGGCCATTTGAGTGCGAAACTTGGAGTTGAGGGTGGTTATCCTTTCTTCATTGGCAATCTCTTTAGTTGGATGATGTATCATTTATATATTGGGATTGAAAACTACAAAACGTTTGATAGCTTCTGGAATAAAGAGACCTCAACTTATTACGATGTGCATACAGATAAATTTAGATTTAGCTATCTCTTAGGCCCAATCCTTAGAGGTATCGTATAAGTGGCGGTATTCTTCTCAGTTTTTATTACAATGGAATTCGCATTCAAGGCTGGAGTCAATTAGGGCATTATCGCATCTCTTTTCAGTACTTCAATCATTATGTCTGCTGTGATATTTTATTTCCTGTATGAGGAAAAGCTCTCATAAAGACATTTGTTCGGCTTAGCACTAATGATAACTGCTGTAGTCTTGATAAGCATTGGAAAACCGGCATCGTAGAAATCTACTACTCTCACTCCCTCAGAACAACTAGCACTTGAAGAGACTTAAGCCTATTATCTCACTCTATCAATCATTTTTGCTATAGTATGTGGAATAATACTTACTATTAACGGATTAGTGATGAGACATTATGTTAAGTACATGCATATATCAGCACTGCAACTTAATAATGATGGTGGGCTAATTCAAATGACTGTGCTTATGGTATTATTCATTCTAAGAGTGAAAGAAAAAGGAATGTACGAAATGGGAGATTTATTTGAGTCTATAGGAGCATCGCTGTTAAGTATGTGCGCAAACGTAACGCTTAGTCAAGCTTTTGCTGTGGGCTTAGGAGGACCTGTTTAAGGAATAAACAATTTAATGTCATTAGTCCAAACTATTCTAGCAGCAATATTCCTTAGTCAGATTCCAACTCTGCTTCAGAATTTTGGATTAGCTTTTGGACTTGTTGGCGCTCTTGTGATGTGCGGAGTAGATAAGATATTCTGGTTCAGAGATTGAAAATGAGATATATATATTTTTTAAAATTTTACTTGCACGATTATCTTATTAATTTACTAATTCAAAGATCAGAAAGCCTATTACTCTTTTGTTAATCGCCTTCAAGTGAAAATCCGAAATTTTCAAATACATCTTTCTTTTCCATTATCCTTTGAATGACTTCATCAGATGGTACAGATTCTCTTGTTTCTTAGGCAGTCAAGCTTTCATCGAAATTTCTTAAATCTTTTGAAAAATTAACTTTTGGAATGAATGGTGCCTTTAACTCTTTCTTCTATAGTTTATTGAAATCAATATCTGAAAAGAAGGGATGCTTAATAATATCCTTATAATCTTCCTTTTCCCCTAATCTTTACTTCTTATCTTTTTCAAGCAGTCTCAGAATAAGATCCTTTGCAGTGTATGAAACCTCAACTCCATGTCTATCTTGTTCTGGCCATTTGACCTAAGAGTTAGTAATCAAGTAAAACATGTGATGCTGGTTCTTATTATAGAATGGAGGGATTCCTACAATCATCTCATATCTTTAACAGTTGGTAAAATAGAATATCTTACAATAAAATGCCAAGAGCCCACCAATCTAGAGTGTGATCATGACCGGTACCTAGTATCATTTCAGGTGCTATTATTATTAACTAAAACTAGAAATTACATAAATACTCTGGTGTTCCACAGAAGGAATTGGGATCTTCTTCATTATCTCTTTTCCTCTTTGCTAGTCCGAAATCAGCCAGCAATATATATCCATCAGTATGCATCAGTACATTTTCAAGTTTCAAATCACGATAAATAATATTCTTTGAATGCAGATAACCCAATCCAAGAGCAATTTAGGCAGTGTAAAACTTTGCCTGATATTCTGAAAATCTCTTTGCTTCTGACAAATGCTTAAATAGTTCTCCTCCTCTATCATATAAATATTTTAATGAAAAAGTACTAGATAAATTCCATTAGGAAGTAAACTCTTAATGACTTCATAAAGACATAGTCCATACTAATGATAAATGGATGTGATACATTTATTAATATCACTTTCTCCAGCCTTAAACTTTCAATCGCTTCATGCTCAATAACTATATCCTTTCTAATACTTTTCATTGCATAATACTTATTGTTAGTCTTGTTCTGCACCAAGAATACCTAAGTATTGCCACTATTAAAATAATGAAATCCTTACTTTTCCGAAGGTTCCTTTTCCAATGATACTAATTATTTCAAAATCAGACAATTACTAATCAGCAATTACTTTATCCCTCTAAAACTGCAATTTAGTTTCCTCAATTTTCTTTGAAAATCGTTCTTTAGACACATTCATAAATTTCTGACTTAGTCTATGATCATACCCTTTCGATCTTCTTTGCAAATGCTTATTATAATCATCTAAGGGTTCATTAACTTTAAGTGGCAAGGGTGAAGGGTTTTTGAACTCTTCTCCTCCCTATGAAGTAGAGTTACTATTTTCTCTGGGATCTAACTCAAACTAAAGTTCTTGAAATTTTTAAGTAAGCTCCTCCTTGATGTCATACTTATATACTCGTGAGTAAAAAAGAGGTAGCTTAGTGATGCCTCGCTCTACATCTTTATCTGTCGTAGTATAATCTCTTAGATCTTTGGCACTCACTTCATACAAAGGAAGATTTTAAAGTTTAAGATTGTGAAATAACCTCTAAAGCACACTGAAAATTTTATCTTGCTGCTCTGATTTGAATCTGAAATCATGCTCTTTTGAGACATGAATAACGAACTCTTTTGATGACTACCCTTCTAGTCTTGTGAAGCCGCAAAGCTGAGTTATTTCAACATTTCTCTAAAGTTCTATTTCAATTATATTACTTAATTTATCGAATATTACTTTTCTTGCTAAATTCATATAAGAAGTCTATTGTTATTACAATCACTTTTTCCTATGAACCCCAAAAGCTTTGCTTATTAACTTTCGTACTCAGCAAGACAAGTTCGCATGCTTAAAAAGTTCATGTATTTTCAATCTTACATCGAATAAACTGGTTTGTGAAATCACTATCGTTCTGAACACTAAGATAGTCTTGAATTTCAATTTGTTTCTCTTTTTTAGTCTCCATTTAAGATTTAATTAGAATCGTTTAAAATTTATCTATCTTTGATATAATAATTTGATTACTTTTATAATATCTATCTTCGATTTTATTATTTTCCTTAATTAGTACTTAACAATTTTTGTGGGGTTTTGGGGTTTTGGGGTTTTGGGG